GTTATCTCCGACATTGGTGACCTTTGGTCCTCGACATTTTGACCTTGTTATATGACATTCTGGACTACCATTTCGGAGACCTATCAGACTCTATCTTTGTGACCTATCGGTGTGATCTACCTCCCACCTCCTTCGTCTCTCCTCCCACCTTTCATCTGTGTATGTGTACGGGATCTGGGTATCGTCTATGAATGACCCAGACCCCACCATCTCATGATTGTATGTGTGTGGAGTGATGTCATGTAAGTCAGTTGGTGTGAGTCGGTCTATGTGAGTCAGTTCGTTATCAGACTTCCGCTGCATAAATGCTCATCCTATATTGGTTGATCTTTGGTTCTGCCCATACTCATTGAAGTATGTAACAGTGGGTCTTGCGAACGTCTCCCGAGAAAATCGTCATATTCCGCTGGCGTGTAAAGAGCCAACTTGGAGCAATGAAAGACTGGGTAGACGGGCAAGTGGGCGGGCACCTGAATAGTGAAGGAAGGTCCCTCGGGTGCATCCCCAGCGGGTGCCACGATTGGCCAAGGCCCCATCCATTTCGGGAGGATCTTGCGAGAGATATCTTGTTCAAGGCTGAATTTCGTGGCGGAGACCCAAATGAGATCGTCCGCGCGGAATGGGCAAGGAAGACGCTGGCGATTGGCCTGTTGGCTCATGCGTTGCTGCGTCTTGGCCATCTGGTCGCGTGCCTTGACAAGCAGCTCTTGCATCCGACGCAAGAAAAGAAGATGGTCGTCGCTCTCGGCCGTTCGTGGAGTGATGGTGTCCAACGACGAAGTGACCGGCGAGCCGTGTTCGAACTCGAAGGGCGACATCCAGATAGCCAGGTGGATGGAGAAGTTGTAGGCCAACTCGACATCCGGCAGCCGCTCAACCCCATCCTTCTAGTCAGGACGGATGAGAGTGTGAAGGAGAACCTGTGCGGTCTGGTGCGCCCTCTCTGTTTGGCCATCGGTCTCGGGGTGGCGAGCTGAACTGGGCTTGAGAGATGAGCCCCAACGCTTGATGAACGCCAACCAAAAATCGGACATGAACCGAGTGTCGCGGTCGCAGACGATTTCCTTGGGGTAACCCTTGGTTCGAATCCAACCGGCGTAAAGAACCTCGGCCAACTCCGGTGCCTTGGCATGATAGCGGCAAGGCAAAAACATGGCAAACTTCGTGAGTCGGTCGACCACCGTGAGAATCCCATCCACGCCGGTCTTGTGCTTGGGGAACTGGCCGGTAATGTCCATGGCAATCGCTTTCCTTCGTCGCAAAGGGACCGGTAATGGTCGTAACTCGCCGTAGGGACGATGGTTGCGGAATTTGCAGCGTCGGCAAACTTCGCATGACTCGCAATAGCGTGTGACGTCGCCGAGAAGGCCGGGCCACCAAAATCGCTCGCGAAGTCGACCAATTGTGCGATTGACTCCAAAGTGTCCGGTTGCGGGAGCATCGTGGAACGCGCCAAGAATCCGTGTACGCAAGTGACTCGGTAAGCAAAGAAGGTCCTTCCCCCGTATGTGGACAAGCAAGTACCCCTCTTGGATCCGGTAATGAGAAGGCGCCGGATTAGGAGAGGAGCAATTCGCGTACTTGTCGCGAAACTCGGGGTCGGCTTGGTAGCCGCGGATGAAGCCGTTCTGCAGGTCGTCGTCGATCTCGAAGGTTGAGTAGAACGCGGTACAATGATCCGGACGCCGTGAAAGAGCATCCGCAAAACGGTTCGACTTCCCCGGAATGTGATCGGGAAAGGAGTCGAACTGGTCGATGAAAGCCATCCATCGAGCGATGGTGCTGTTGACGGTGTCTTGGGTCTTGTAAAAGACCAACGGATTGTTGTGTGTTACCCATCGAAATCGGCTTCCACCAAGGAGGAAGTGCCACCACCGCTTGAGTGCGTGGAAGAAGGCGAGGAGCTCCTTCTTGCATGCATCGTCGATGGAGTGCACAACCGACACTTTCTTGCTGAAATAGTCGAGTCCGCGCCATCGTGTTGCTCGAGGACCGCACCAATGCCATAGCCGAACGCATCCGTAGTGACGCGCGTAGGCAAAAGCAAGTCGCATATGCGCAAGGCCTTCGTAGATAATAGCGCAGCTTTGAGAGCCAAAAATGATTCCCGCGCATCCTCGCCGAAGACAAACGACCGATCCTCGCATTGAAGCTTGGTCAAGTGGGCCGCGATCTTCGAGTAGCCCTTGATAAAACGCTGGTAGTAGCCGGCGAGGCCAAGGAACGAGCGGACATCCGTGACGTTCCGTGGCTCTAGCCACTCTTGGATGGCTTGAATCTTGTCCGATAGCGGACTGATACCCTCCGATGTGACAAAATGGCCCAAGTATTCCAGCTCTTGCCGGACAATTCGCACTTGTCGCGGTTGGCCTTGTACTTGGCGCGACGGAGCGTCTCCAACACTCGTCGAAGATGCCCAAGATGATCCTCCAATGTCCGGCTATAGACAAGAATATCGTTTAAGTAGACCAGCACGAACCGGTCCAACATTGCACGAAACTCGTTGGTCATTGCCGCTTGAAAGGTCGTTGGGGCGTTGGTGAGGCCAAAAGGCATGACCACCCACTCAAAATGCCCGTACCACGTCTTGAACGCGGATTTGTAGTGATCATTCGGCCAGATCGAGATTTGATGATATCCTGACTTCAAATCCAACTTAGGAAAATACTTTGCGCCGCCTTGCGGGAGTCGATGCATAAACGTAGGTCCTTGTTCTTCTTTCGGACGAAGAGAACTGGTGCTCCATATGGGGAGCTACTAGGGCGGATCCAGCCCTTGGCCAACAAGTCGTCGAGTTGTGCGCGGAGGACCTCAAGCTCCTCCTCGCTCATCCGATAGATGCAACCTTTCGGCAGTACGGCACCGACCTCAAGAATGATCTCGTGAGAGATCGGTCGATCCGGCACCACACCAAAGGTGACTCGAAGATGTCGGCGAACTTGTCCAGGAACGACACCACCCGGGGGTCCGAAGACAAGTCCGTGGGTGAAGAGTCTGCTACTGTGACGGTCTGTAGGAAACATAGGCCGATTTCCTCGGGCTGCTCGTAAGCGCAAGTCGCCCGGAATGATTTGGCCGTCACCACTTGCCACCGGATCGAAGGGTGCGGAAGAGGAATAGTACACGCCACTTCGGCGCCGAAGGCGTCGCGAACGGTAAGAGTCCGCCGGTGGAAGTTGACTGTGTGATCCGCACTTGCAAGCCAACGCATTCCCAGAATCATGTCGAAGTCCGTATCCAAAATGTCGAACGTCACCGGTTCGCATGCATGAGGTGCGAAATACACCGGTACGGCTTCGATGTAACGGTCGAGAAGTTGCTGCGTCTTTCCATCCGCCAACTTGATCGCCGTCGGGTTTGCCTTTCTCCGAACTTGTGTGACAAGGCCAACCCTTTGCATAAAGGCCTTGCTCATGAAATTGCGAGACGCGACGCTATCCAGCAAAGCGCTGCAGGACGCTTGCCCAACCTAGATGCGGACATACATGAGCGGTGCGTTGTTGTCATCGTACCGCTGCGTGCGAAACTCGCGGGCCACCTTGGTAACATACGCAAGGATGTCCCCCACCGCGACTTCGTCATCCGTCGGCGAAGTTGGTGGTGCATAGAAGGATAGTACATGTGGAGATGAGCGCGTAGTGCTGCTCATTGCGGTCCCGACAAGCGGCCCGTGGTCGGGAGAGGAAGCCATGCAAAGTCCTCGGACGTGAGCGGTTCCAATACCTCTATGTTGAACTCGTGCGCCGAATCCCGTGAAGAACCAATGAAGACGATAAGTCGCCGCTGCCGGATGGAGAAGATGCCACACACACGTCTTGTCCTTGAGCTCGAGTACCCAGCGTAGGAACGAGCCGGGCAGCATAGTTCTCAAAAGAATACAAAAGAGGAGGACTATCAACTTCCGCATATGCCTCGGAACGAAGGGCAGTCACCCGCGAAGTGACCGGTTCTTGGGGCGTCGAGAGTGTCATCGATTCACTCCCGGCGGTGCTCAGTTCCCCGGTTTGCCCTTGCCTTTCAACGGGCAGGCCACTGTCTCATGGAGATCGTTGTTGCACCATAGGCAATAGTGAAATCGCGTGCATGCTTTGTATGCCGTTTTGAAGAGACCGTATTGGGACCACGGGGTTGGAGCTGCTGCGTCGGGACTGGGGCTAGATGCGGTGTTCGTCTTCGCCTTGCCGCGTCCTCTGGTTTTGCCGGGGCGGCCACCTTCCCAGGCGGCTGAGAGTTTGTCCCCTTCATTGGCATACATGGCCTCGCTAGTTTGGTCAAACGACGTTGCCACCGCGACCACGACCACTCTTGGCCGATGCTGGTCTCTGCTCGGCCCTGGCGCAGACGAACGCAGGTTCTTAGCCTCCTTGTTTGTGATAATGATCTGCGCGGCCTTGTCAAAGAGTTCCGCCGTTGTCGTCAAGGTGTCCTCGACGTGCGTCAGGGCATTGCTTAATGTCGGACACGACCTTGAGATGAAGTAGTGGCGGATGGCTTTGAAGCCCATCTGGATGTCCGGGACGGATGTCAAGCGTTGGTACTCGGCAATCCAGTCGACACTCGACAACATGCCTTGTTCGAAGACCATTAGCTTGTCCATTGCCTTGATCTCCAACGGCTCTACTTGGAACCGCTTATGCCACGCCGCCTTGAGATCATCCCGGTTGATCTTGGTATGCAAGTCGCCAGCTACCACTCCGTACTTCGACAAGAGATTGTCCAACCATGCTTGGCACGCGCCCTCGACCGGGAGTATAAGTACTCCGTGGTGCTTGTGTTCTTTGACGTAATGCAGATGTAGTGTGAGCTCGAACTTGTGGAACCATGGAATCGGATTTGTCTTCGTCGAGTCGCAGAAGATTTCCTGCCCCTCAAACTTTGGAGCTGTCTCGCGCGGTTCCGAACTCGAGTTGTTGGCGGTTGTACAGATCCGCTGCTCCAACTGTTGCGTTGCGGTTTGCTGTAACTGCACGCCGTCCTTGAGGGAGCCGACGTCCATCTCCAATGCTTCGAGGCGATCGGAGGTGTTGGAAGAGCTTGTATCGGGGGCGGCGACAGGTCGCTGCTCCCGCTGCCGGAGGCGGCCGTGGACTTGAGTCGTCGCGTTGTCGAACGCATCGGTCCGGCACCACTCAAGGGTAGCGCGGGACCCTCCCGGTCGCGTCACGCAGGAGTTGGTTTTAATCCTTCGTCGCGAATATACATGGAGCTTCCGCAAGTCGCTCTGGCCGAGTGCGCCAGCCATACCTCTCGCGAGCCCCTACGACAGGAAAGGGCCTACGCGAGGCACGACTTACCTCCACCTTACGGGAGCTGTCACCTCCCTTCGGTGGGCGTATCCCCGCCGAGCTACCAGTCCACAGTACGAAAGTTGATCAGTTGCAATCGCAGAGGTGGACCAACCGAGAGCGTTTCTCGTCCGTTGTAGCATAGGGGGTACGTGCGGTAGTACTCCTCTATCGAACCCGCACGCGAACTGGGATCTTGGGGGGCCGAGGTCCCAAACGCAACTCATCGCCGGTCGACTAGGACGTATCCCACACGCCACGCACACTCCACTATAAAGAACATAAAAATAAAAGCACACACACGCGCATGTACATACACATATACAGAACGACACTGAATAAACAACGCGACAACACTCTTAGTCCCTTAGCAGCTATCCCATAACTTTTCGATGTGGAAATCGGATAGGTGTCGCGCGCGCGAGACTTAGTATAAAACCGCGCGGACGCAGGGCTAACTCATATCGACCCGCAATGCATACGTACGCAAGCGATCACAATGATGGCGTACTATGTAGTACCTCTACTCATGCGGTCCTCGTTAACCTCAAGGGTCGCATTCGACACTCAAGTGTCGGCTGACACGCGCCTTGAGGGTTTATCTCTCGACGTTGGACAACCGCAAAATACGGTTGAAAACCACACCCTCTTCTGCACCCTGCGGAGAGTGGGTGGTACACAGGTTCATACCTGTGGTGGCAATCGTCTCTTAGGGCCCTGGAGACCAGCTCTATCGTCTGAGGCCTGAAAATAAGTCAAGGGGTTTGACTTTGACGGCTGCCACGGACTACAACGTCCAACTATAAACCTCTAAAATGCAAAGGATAACTGGGGATCTCCCTCTCCTCTCAAATGCACGATCTGTTTAACCCTTACACGTGGTCCCAATAGGCCGTGCGAAACACTCAAGACATATATATATCACATAAATATAAAGGGTTATTAATATTAGACGATCACTTCTCACATTCACAGTGTGCCTCCTCTCAACCATATATATACGCATGTGAGCGCAGGCAGTGAAATCCAAAGTCCGAATAACCAAACATACCTGCAATCACATCAAAGATTCAACCAAAAGTCCACGCACTACACGGGGTCAACTTCAACCATTCTCTGCACTCACACCCCTTGCTTTAGCCACACAAACCTCAACCTTAGCGCACCCTTCCAGCAATAAAATACTCAGTACCTTTGTTAAATGGCCATTCAATCAAGTCGAATCGTAAACCGACGAATCGGCAACCGACCTGTTATCAGTGATAACAGAAGGTGATCCTTGTAGGACCAAGCTGAATATATCCTAGATCCTGAACCAAACGATCAAGAGGACCTGTAACACAAGACATGCCAATCCCCAAGCTAAATCATAAGTGTAAGGAGAATACAACTCCATAACACATTCTCACTCAAGATCCTTCGACAGGCTAAGCCTGAGCCTGCCTCTAAGCTCGTGCCCAAAGAAAGGTAGACCCTGGCAGAATCTCCTCTATACGGAGTGGATCGCCAGAATCGCCACCTGTTAAAATATATTCTATATCCCCTTAAACTAAGAAAATTTCGGCAGCGCTTCTCATAGGAAAAGTGTTTTCCCATAATTTATATCAGTACGAATATGAAAACAGAAATAGCCTTCAACTTTTCAAAGTCAATTTTTGTCTAACTCCTTAATTAGCAAAAATTTGGGCAGCACTCCCTTTAGAAAAGGAGACTTTCCATATTTTTACTAAGCTATATATGAACTTTAGACAAGTTGAACTTTGAAAAGTCAAAATGTTGACTAACTCCTTGGATTTGCAGAAATTTCAGCAACGCTTCCCGTAGAGAAAGTAGCTTGCCAAAATTTATACAAAGCCAAGTATAATAAAAAATCCCAGAAAATGCGAGAATTGATCTAAGTAAAAAAAACTTAGCTCAGAAAATGCAAGAATTGAAACTGACTCCTGTGGCTCTAGCACGTGGCGAGCAACTAAAACAACTACCTATCAAACTGAAACTCAGACTAAGTAGTGGCCTCACTCAGTTACATGCAGGCCAAACCACAAAGGTAAGTACCCTCACCATGCCCAAGTCAACTTAGCAGACAATAGTTCATAGTCTTTCAATGATTTATCCCCTTATACCCAGCTTACATAAGGCGTAAAGTTTGGCCACCTAAACTTATGGGACATGCCTGACCCAGCCATTGAGTATACACAGAACAGAGGGCACAACTACTTCTCTCTTATTTGGGCATATGACTAGGCCATTCTAATCGCCCTGAACTGTTTAAATAGCCAAGTTATATATACCTCTCTGAACTTAGTCTTCAAAGTGGGCGTAGGACTGAGCCATTCATCTTAGAAACAATGCTCAGCCGACCCAAGTTACCTTCAGTTATACTCTTAGTTATACTCTCTTCAAATTGTGATAGGGCTATAGTCAGGCCACCCAAACTTATGGGACCCTGCCTGACTAGCCTGTTCATAGATAAGATAGTAATAGAATATAGCCAAATTATAACCTTTGGATTCCAGCATGTGTGAGGCTCTGACTCAGACCACCTGAACTTACAGAACAATCTGGCTCTCTGCCTGATTCGTTCCTCTTTGTTTCAACTTGTGCGAGACATTGGGCTAGACCACCTAAACTTATAGAATGGTCTGCCCTTTGCCAAATTTACTTTCTCAGAACAAAAGTCGGAAGGGGCTGAGCCACCTAAACTTATAGAATGGCTCAAACCTCCTCGTTCAGAACCAAACAAACAATGAAAACCCCAAAATAAACAAGGCAACCAAGGCACCTGAACTTACAGAATGCACTTGGCCCCTGAAAAAGTCAAGCACAATTAGCCCTCGCAAGTCAGAGCAACCAGACCACCTAAACTTATAGAATGGCCTGATTCTCAAAACAATCTCACAGCACTAGGTCTCCCCAAACTTATGGGGACTTCCCAACCTCCAGAGCAATCAGACCACCTAAACTTATAGAATGTTCTGATGCTCCACGCAATCCAAAATAAACATAGCACTGGGTCTCCCCAAACTTATGGGGACCTCCCAGCCTTAATGACCCAGTCAAACTTTAAAGCAATATTGCCTTCCTCCCAGCCTTCCCCCAGATGCAACCCCTTTTTACAATCTGCTTTCAGTCTAACAACAAAATTGAAACTAAAATTCAGCACACATTCCTTTATTTAAGTCTAGTTTATATCCTGAAAGTCAAACCCAAAGTCAAAGTAGAATACACACAGTATGCTCAGCCAGAGTATAAAAAGGAATATAGATAGGGGCTATAACTGGGTTTATAGAGGGAAAGCAATGATTACCTTTCAGTTCCCTGCCTCCAGAACTCCTCCTGAGTTCCGGCAGAGCTCCTGCAATCGGTGGGCTGACGCCCCACAGAGTTTCGCTGCGGTCCTACGGGTTGCAATCCCGCCTGGCGCCTTCCTCTCGGAACAAGACTAGACTTGGAGTAAGAAGGACGATATAAGGGGTCTGAGACTCTCGAGATGCAAGAAGGGGACAACTCAACTCTCAGGAGAGGGCCTTGATACCTTCACTCGCCTGAGGGCCCCGCAATGGCGGTCAACACACAGAAGCAACTTGGTCAGCTGTAGTCAAACTGCTATTGTTGACTCCCCGAAGACTGGCCAAATCATAGCAATACCCCCGCCCCTGTTTAACAATCACGGTCACTCCCGAGCGTTTCGACGTAAAATGTAAGTTAAGGGCACGATCCTTCCCCTGCGTCGAAGCAAAACAGTCACCACTCCCCTTTGGCCCTTGCTATTCACAGCACAAAGTGCTCACTCTTAGGCATGTATCAGGCTGCTGGAAGGATCGAGCAGGCAGCTAGGCGTGACCCGCGGTCACTGCTGGATTCGAACTCACGCCTGTAACTTACAACTCCCTGTAATTGGTAGCTGAGCGGTCTGCCAATGTGCAAAATGAGAAGGAATCCTTCCATACGGACATGGCTAGATGCAACGCCCACTCATGCGGTTCAACATACGACGTCAGTTGATTAAGTAAGCCCGCCCAGGTACGCATTACCCTCCTCCAACCGACCTTCCTGGCTTCTGGGTCCCCCTTCTGCAGCCAACATCGAGCCACCCTTACGGTTAGATCCAACTGGTGGCAGTGACTCACACAGTCATACTCAGACGAAACAGTGAGTACGACCTCAGCGTGGTAGTGAGGAAGCAATAGCAGACCAAGGCATACCCGAGGGGGAGAGCCCCACTCTGCTACCCATTGAGTTCATCGAAGGAGAACGAATCTCCTTCCTGAAATCGATCAGGCATGCCCGCTACACTCTCCTTCCTTACTTGCAGCTCCCACTTTCCCATATACCAGGCTCGACAAGATGAGCAACGCATCAGCCCACAGGTAGTCTCCAACCCCGTTGCCGGCCTTGCTGCTGCTCCGTCTAGCTGCGAGCCGTGCTGATGGCCAAAGACCTGCAGTCTCGCAGCTTATGTCCCGTCATTCCGTACAACAGACTGGGCAGTGTTCCTCCAATAGGTAAGTCGTCCGACCTTCACGACTTGCTTCCCTGTCGCCCCGGTCGTGGGGATGAGCGGCCCACCGGCCAACGGACAAGTCATCAGCCCCAGTTTGTTGCACGGATACAGCCGTTGCAGCCTCGTCTTTTAGCTGCTGCTCGTTCACACAGACAGAAGACACGGTCCACAGTTACCGTATCCCGACACACACTGTGGATCACGCTTTCATGGTAACGACAAACCGCCGAGTCGCTGCAGCAGCAATCCCGTCCCGAAACGGAAGGCTGCGACGAAATCTGCCCGCTCGCGGCTCTCCACCAGCTGCTTCACACAATGAGACAGACTACACACCTGCCAACAGTCTAGCTTGCTCCCCGCAGCTAGCATACTGCAGCTTCCCCTGTCTCTCTTC